CTCAGTTTCAGGAAAATTTTTTAGTGTCAATCAACGCTATTGATTGGGTAGACAGTTAGAAAACCAAAACTGAGAAAGCAGAAAACCTGCAGAATCTGTTCTGCTCGTTTAATAGAGAGACAGATTTGAACGTCTTCATCATTTTACACTTATCAAGCAACCAGTTTTATAGAAAGGACAAAATGGAAATGTATTCACATTCTGTAGAAAAAGGTTTGGAAAATTACTCCTGGAATGTAAATAAGAAACAGAAACGGTATAGCTTTTGGCAGGTAAGGGTAAGGTAAGAAAGGAATCCTTGTGATTTTGGGTATTCAAAACTGGGGTATACACAGACTCCAGAAGATTCTTAAGGAAAACTGGCACACAGGAGGCTTTCGTGTTAAGATGAAGGGAGACCATGATGTGTGCAAGTAATCTGGCTTACAGAGATTACAGAATATATGATCTCTACTAAGTAACAGGATATTCTTGGTAATGTTATATGACATTGAAAGAAAAATAATTGGCTTTGGGAAAGATATGCAGTGACTCAGCAGCTAATTAGACTACCTTCATCGGAGTACAGTTCTGCTACCCCACATTCTCTCCATTTAAGTGATTTCCTACTATATTTGGTGACTTTGACCATACTCAATACAATATCAAACAAATCAACTTGTTGCTATTATGAAACAGTTTGTCTCATCTCTCAGACTAAGAGTGTCATGGGAAGCAGAATACAGATGTGGTGAGATTTCTTTTGGGAAAGACAGCAGCTCTATGAAAGAATGAGACAGAGATGGAAGTGTCTAAAGAAAAAAAAATAGTTTATTTGGCATTTTCATTAGCTGTCTCCAAGACTTTTTTTTAAAACTTTATTGCTTCAATAACCTATTCTGGAAATGGTTAGGGGGCAGAGTGTGTGTGTCAGTGACTGAGGAACAGTAGTTAGAACAATGGTTGAAAAATGTAAATTTTGCATTGCAGAAGAGTCCCCTTGTTAGTACTCTGAGCACTGAGAATTAGTGCTTTGTGACTAATGCAGCATTGATTTTCTAAGGTAGAAGTCAAACAATTCACAAACTAGAGAACAGATTTTAGGGGAGGGTGTTGGGTATAACAAAGGTAAAAATTTATATTCAGACAAAGGATTATTCATTGTTCCTCTTCAAGGGACAGTATTAGGAAGAACTACAAATATTGGTAAAGACAAATCATGAACCGTTTAGCAGCTGGCATAAAAATCAAGTACAATTTCTCATGTAGTTTGTAATATATTAGCAAACATAATATTTTAAAAACTTTGAAACTAATTATTCTTATGAAAGGAAGTGAAAATATTGTGGAATATCTTGAAACACATAGATTATTTGTAACCCCTTACTGTTACATTAAAAGAGGAAAAGAATCATAAAGATACTGCAGCTGAAAAAAATCGAAAAAATTTACACCAGAAAATTAGCAGTATTTCTTCTGTTTTGTGGAAGGGGTTTTTGGTGATTTTTGTTTGTTTGTTTGTTCTAGTTTGTTTTAGTTCATCTTCCAAAATTATGGAGACAGTTCTAAGACATCTTGAAAACAGGAAATGGGTAAAGAGAATATAAGGAAATTTATACTACTGAAAAAGTTACTCTTAAAAATACCTTCTATATAATAATGAAAGAAAGTTCTATTTTTAAAAAAAGTCTCCATATCAGCTTTCAATTAGAATAGTTACACTTGGGATCATAGAATGAAAACAAAGAAGTAGTTTCATAATGAAATCAATACATTTATTTCTAAATACTCTGACAAAAGGATCTAGTTTTACTTTCAACAGTTACTGGGAAGCTTAGCTTTGAAAGTGCTTATGGGTTTTCGGATGCCTCTTAAATTTTTGCACAAAACTTGCTACCTCCATTTTTTTCTTTTCCCTAAACTTTGAGCTTTGATGATCCCTTTTACTTACATGAAAAGATATGTAACTTCTGTTCAACATCTTGGATAAATGACAAAGTGATTACCATTGGTTGAAGCAGGTCTATGATTAAATGCTTAAAACAAACAAAATCCTCTCTGTAGGTTAAGCAGCCTTAGATCAACAATCAAATTGCTGATCACTATCTCAAACTCAAGAATTGTAGCATTCTGCCAAAGTGCCGTGTTTCTGTACATCATCACATGGTTCTCATGCATGTGGCCTTTTCAGTACTTTCTCTTGACATAACTCATTTTTTTATATTATACAATTTAACAGTCTAATTCCCCAGTTGTACAGAAACAGATTTTGATGCAATTGAGGCATGTCACCAGCAGAGTTCTACATATCCTTTTCTTGATTCTGCTTTTTTTTTGTTTGTTGTTTTTTTTTTCTTTCAACTCTGATTTCCACCAGCTTTTAAAAGCCCATTTTTTGTGCAGTCATACGGAGGGGATCAAGCTGATCATAGCACTTTTTCACATCTTTCTTCCATTTATGAGTATTCCTCCCAGGTTACAGGGTGTTCTTCCAAAGAAAAATGGACACTAGCAAACTGCTGAGAAATCAGCTCAACTGAAAATTTCAGGGTTGTGTAGAGAAAATAGTACAATCTTTGTATGTAGGCCAGATAACACAAGCAGCCAAAGAATGTTTCTGGTGTTTTTTTTTATTTAAGGTAATGACATTCTGTCAATTTCTTATTGTTGTATGATGTGTGAGGTTGATTCTCAAACTGGGAATGCTTTTTGCCACCATCCTTAGCAATGACAGCATACACCAGGAATCGCACAAGCCCCACATTTTTCTCATGTGGTATTAACAAATCTGGGTTCCTTCCCAGAAGGAAGCTCTCTACCTTCAGAAGGGGACTATAAAATGCTTCTTGTGGTCCTAAAATTTTGGAACCTACAAGTGGACTTCAATCTGAAATGCATACTGCTAAGTCTAGCCAGGTAAGGCTTTCTCCCTCACATCAGCATGCTGCCAAACTGCATGAACTTTAGAACAAACGGAGGGTACCCACTGTTGTTTATTTTCTCTGTTTGTAGGCACACATTTACAGCAGCCAGGAACAGATTCCCTCCACTGCCTCTCCAAATACAGCTAAGTTGGCTAAGTGTTGGTTTATGACGCTGTAGTTTACTATGTTGCAGTAATTTTTGTATCACACACTGGGAAATTTAAGTCCAGAACAAAAAGAACTTAAGCTAAAGAGTAGTCAAACAGAATTTGGATGATCCAGAAGAATGAATTAATTTACTGCAGCAGCTTATATTACTTGCCTGTTCAGCTCTATTTTTAGGTGTTGAGATCTTCTTAGGCACATAGATTAAGTTACAGGATCCTGAATGGAAGAAATTCGAGGGGGCCGTGATTGAGATACCACAGTGAGAGCAATTATTCTAAATGAGCTTGACTGGCTCAAATCATATGACAGTGGAGAAAAGAGCATTATTCAGAAATGAATGTGAGTTTAAAACATAGGATGGAAGGAAGGAAGAAAGATTATTTCTTCCACATGTGTGAAATGAATGAAGATCTTAACAAGTTGGAAGAGCTTTTAAGTTGTAAAAGGGAAATCTGAACTATAATACTTAAAAGCCAGCTGTCATGCCTCTGGTTTTCTAGTGCAAGTACTTTATTTATTAATATCTGGTAATTAAATATTTTAACATGGCAAACAGGACTAAGTTCATTAGAAAAACACAGCATAAGTGAAATTGTGGAGGTTACCAGAAACAGCTGTAAAAAAATAGTGCAAAATTATGAATATTATAATAAAAATTGAAATGTTATAGGGAATGAAATACCATGTCACTTTAATAATAAAGTACTCTAAAAAAAAGGTTTTGGAAAGTTAAGTGGTATGGTATCTGGCAAACTCTGTTGCTTTGCTGTGTGTACAGGAATTTTCAAAGGATTCCTTGAAGGCAATAATGCTCAGTCTAAGATGAAACACCAGAAGTACTTTTTCCTTCATTTGGAAAAGCATCCATGTATGTACATTGCAAAGTGCATCACATTTTGTTTTGGTCACATGATGTTTTTAGCTGGGACAGATTAAATTTTCTTCACAGTAGCTAGTATAGGGCTGTGTTTTACATTTGTGCTGGAAACAGTGTTGATGGCACATGTATATTTTAGTCAATGCTGAGAAGTGCATACAAGAAGTTAAGGCCTTCTCTGTCTGTTGCTCATGGCTGTTTGGTTTCCTGTCTCTCACCAACAAGTAGGCTGTGGGAGCACAAGGAGCTGGGAGGGGATGCAGCCAGGACAGCTGACCCCAGTGATATTCCCTATCACATGGTGTCATGCTCAGCATATTAAGCTGGTGGGAGAAGAAAAAAAGAGTGGGATGTTTGGAGTGATGGTGTTTGTCTTCCTGAGTCACTGTTACATGTGATGGGGCCCTGCCAGGCTGAATACCTGCCTACCCAGGGGAAGCAGTGAATTGATTTCTTGTTTTGCTTTGGTTGTGTGCATGGCCTTTGCTATTAAACTGTCTTTATCGCAAACCAGGAGTCTTCTGGCTTTTATCCTTCTGATTCTCTCCCCACTCCTGCTGGTGGTGGAGTGAGTGAGTGGTTGCATGGGACTTGGTTACTCTTTGGGATTAAACTATGACAATGTCAGAGAGTTGAAGCCACAGCATTTTTTTCCTATTATATGTACTTGACATACCGCATGGTACGTCTCTGTTGCTCTTAATGATTAGGATTGAAAAGACATTTTAAATGTAACAGTCATCCACTTTCTTTACCACTGCAGCCTGACTGTAATTCTAACTACCCCAACGGGATGCATTTTTATTTAAAATTCTAAGATGTGGAAGCCTTCTTTCACATTTGCCTTATGTTCTTCACCTAAACCTTACAATTACAGGTTATTAGGTAATTTACTGAGTTAAACTAAAGGCCAATGATTTATTTATTTTTTAAGTCAGAATTTATAACTTAACTAGAAAAATATCCTACAGCTTTTGCATAAAAAAATAAGCCTCCACTTGTTAGGTTATGACCGCCTATTCAGAAAAGCTTGGAAAAGACAATATTAGTACCTGTGAAAATGTGTCCACTGATGACAAATTTCCAGTTGATGGAAAATTCGAGGACAGATTCTACAAAATGCATCTGGAATCACAGTAACGCAAGACTTGTCTTTGTCTCTCCTTTAGTTGCTTGTGCAATGGCAATGCTTGTGTCCGTCAGGATCCTGCAATACTAATTGGAACTGAATATATGGTCCCTCCTCTTTGATGAAGCCATCTTTTACAGAAGGGAAACTTTGAAAGCAAAGCAGCACAAACCTCTCTGTATTGTCCTAAGACTGCATCCTGTATGATGCCAGAGAACACCAGGTGAACTACTGGAGGAAACTTAGAAGTTCTGAAGGTGAATTTATGCTCCACAGGGTAAGTGGGGAGTTACACATTCCTGAGAATGAATTACAAGGTGTTCCTGAGGCCTGTCTTATATATAAGCACATTGTGAAGTACTTGGCAAATACAGAACAATAATCAGTGGACTTAAGTTGCAAGACCACAGTTAAGTATCAGCAAAATCTCTGTTAATGGGAGTAACAGCATAGATTGCCTACGGAGGACTTTTGGCAAAAGTAATTCAATGTCTACTGAGACAAGGGAATGAAGCCTGAGCAAATCACTTCTTACAGTCTCTTACATCTCTATTGCTTCTAATTCCTTGTCCTGCAAGGATTTCTGAAATGTTCTGGAAGATGCCAACTTTACCCAAAAAATTATTTCAACAAGCAACACTCCAAGATCTGTCAGAACCTGCAACACTTACCCTTTGCATTCTCTTTCCTCCATATTTATGACTGCTCAACAACCTCCTAAAAATTTTTTTAAGTTGTTTCCAAGCCTTCAAACTGAAAAAAAAAAAAAATTCTTTTACTTAAAGCCTTAGACCTTAGAGGTCTAAATGCTATTCTGTCCTGACTGGAGAACAAGAAAAGGGGCTAAAGACCTTTGGTTTAGCACTAGTGTTGGCACGCAGTCTATTTTATAGAATTTGCAAGTGCATTTTTTTAAATAATTACATGGCAGCTCTTGCAGGCATCAAATGAGAGCGGAGTTCTGATTTCCCCGTTTCTTGCAGGGACACACGGGGAATGCAAGATGCCGAGTGCAACCAGCAGGGCGTAAGCTCACCCACCTCTACCTACAGTGCCAAACGAGCGGTGCTGACACACAAGACGGGCAGTAGCACTTTTGAGAACTGCCAGACGCCAAAGGATCCCGGTATTTCGGTGACCGGTACCCAGTAGAGGATTACAGAGAGCTGCGCTTCCAGGAGCCCCGCGACTGTGGTCCGGCACTGGCTCAGCCGCCGCCGGACGTGGGGCAATCCCTGCAAGCCAGTCCTTCCCATCCTAAACAAGTACCTTTGCCGCTACTAGGGAGAGGCTGGAGGCGAGTGAGGCGCGCAGCTCCTCTGCCGCGGAGGGCTCACTGTCGCGGGCAGAGACGGGGCCGGAGGTGTCCAAACTTCCCCGCCCCGAGCCCCAAGCGCAGCCAGACCCCTCAGGGCACCCCAGGCCAGCCCCGCCCTCGCGCTGCCCCGCCCCGCCCCGCCCCGCCCCGCCCCTGCCCTCATTGGCTGCCCGCTCTGCCCACCCGCAAGCCCCGCCTCCCTCCCTGCGCTCCCCGCCCCTCGATTGGCCGGTGCGCCCTGTCAATCAGTCGCGCGAGGGCGAGCGGCGCGTCCCGTCCGCCGCGCCTGAGCTGCGCTGGGGAGGGGCGTCCGCTCCGAGCGCCGCCGCTGCCGCCACCGCCACTGCTTGCTCGCTCTCCCTCCCTCCCTCCTTCCCTCCCTCCCTCCCTACCTGCCTTCCTCCGCTCCGGAGCGCCGCCCTAGCCGGCTCCGCTTCCGAGCCCCCGCGGCAGGGGCGGGGCGGGAAACAGTGCCGGAGGTGAAGGGCCGCACGCCGAGCCTGCGCCCCGCTCCCCTCGTCTCGCCGGTAGGTCTCTGTGCTGGCCGCCTCTCGGAGCCGCGGCGGCCGCAGCACCCCCGCGGGCCGAGGACTTGGAGCGGCTCCCTCCCCGTTCCCCCGGTGGCCGCGGGGCGGGCAGGGACGGCGGCGGCTGGCTGGGCTGCGGAGAGCGGGACGGCAGTGCCCCGGCTGGGGCCGTGCCCGGGGGCCCGCGGGGCTCGGGCGGCGCGGGAGGGGCTCAGGCGGCGCGTCCCTGCGGCTGCGCTCCCGGCTGGCAGGAGCCGCCGCTGGGAGACCGCCGGGTGCCCTCTCCCGAAGGAGTGCTTCCCTGGCGGGCACCGGGCCGGGTTTGCAGGAACAAGTGAGTAAGTTTGCTTTCCTATTCCCTAGGAGCAGGTTGGTGGAGTGCAGTTGTGCTGCGTTAGCAGATTAGCGGGTTAGAGGCGAATTGAGCTGCCAGTGCTCTGCTGCTTTATTTTTACCTTTTGTTTTGCTGTTTAAAAAGTTATTTACAAACACACTCTGAATATAGTGGTTTTAAGTTTGGTTAATTAAAGTCTCTGAGTGATGTTTGAGCTGATTCGCCGTGGAACTTGTATAGAGCTTATTTTCAGGCATTCCTGTTGACTTTGCTGGTACACCCTTAATGAGCGTTAAAGTAATATGCAGTGTGTGAAAGGAATTGGAATGTAATTGAAGATTTTTTTTTTTTTTAATACTCTTTGCACGTAAGAACTTTTGTAAGTACATACACAGTTAGAATTATGAACTGTGCAAAAATACCTTTTATTTTGTATGTCCTTAAGCATGTTCATAAGTGAAGCACACTGTTAAGCATGTTACGCCCTGCTACCTGGGTTATGACTACTTGTAGGGATAAACAACTTCCCTACTCTCTAGACTCACATCTGTTGAGAACACAAATCAATATCTTATGGATGCATTTTATCCTGAACTCCGCTGGGATGTTAAAATCTAAAATGTGAGTAATGTGATTTTACTTTTAGAGGGAAAAGATAAGGTAGAGGTTTCTGTGTTAACTATATTTTAGGGGATGTCTTCTCTCGACCTCAACATCCTTTGGTCAGTTTCTTTTGAATTGAGACGTTTCAACAGTTAAATAGTATTTGCAGTGGAAATAAGTGGTATTTTATTATGCTGGCTTGAAAAGGACAAATTACCTTGCAAACAGCAGACTAGTTACATCAGCTGAGGTTGACTTTCAGCTAATGAAATTAATCTTTTTCTCTTGCCAATCTGCTTTTGAATCAAATAGTTGTATTGGCTTATAAAATGTAAATGAGTGTTACAATCTAGAATACCAGTTCTTATACAGTGATACATTGCATTTTCTGTATGGATTTTTTTTTTCCTTTGTGATCAAAATAAATATATTAAAGATTGGTTAAGAGATTCAACCTGTTTGTTTGGAAGAATTACAGGCCCTATCTTAACCCTTCTGAAGTTGTTCTTCCCTAAAAAAAATATAACTGAATCTACAGAAGAGTTTTTCCTCATCCAATTTATTTATTTACAATTAACAAGGCTGATTTTACTTCCTGTGGTCTGTGGTAATTTTTTGTTTTTTAATAATCTCATAATTAGATTAAGTGCATTTTTAAAGCTGATCCAGTATATCAAAACTTAGTGTCCCCACTGCATCTGAAGGATTTGTCCCATCAAAACAGGACTGTTCATGGTTCTCTAGTTATTATGCTAAATTGTTCTGTGATTAGAAATATCAAAGTTATATGCATTTGTAACATCTTTGCTTTTATCTTAAAAACTTGTTTAAAAAATATTAGGAACTTTCCTGCTGTTGAAGATAAATTTAGTTTAGTTATGTCTTTGGGACAAAAATAGATCAAATGTGAAGAATAGGGAAGTGCCAGTGGTTACTTTTCTCCAGTTATCTTCTAATTATAAACAAGAACTTTCTAAGGAACAGGGTACTGATCGACTGTAGTAACTTTATCTAACTTTTCTGAAATTTTTCCAGCTGAACGTTTTTTGTCAGTCTGTTGTAAACAAAACTTCTTGTTCCTTAGGTTTTTCTTTTTACCTTTAACTTATTTTTTTGGAGTGGCATACATAAAAGTAATAATGTGATTAGACGCACACATAAACCATAGGAATCACAAAGCTGTAAAGGAGTTTGACATGCTGTTTCTTCAAAGTTTAAGTTCACTGATTTAGCTGCAGATTAATGGCAGGAGTTCTCAGTCAATCCTTCATAGCTCACCTGAGGCTGTAAGAGCAAAAATACCTGACAGTGCTTAGGGGAAGATTGGGACAATGCTTTTCAGGGGTGGACTGCGTTTAGATGATCTTAAAATAAAGATGATACCTGGGAGTTGTTTAGCAATGTAGATGGAACGGCGTGTTCCCAAGTGGTGTACCCAGGAAGAGTAGGCAAAAGGATTAAAACATGTTTTTTGCTTTGCTTCTGGGCCTTTAATACTCTTTTGAAGATATCTTGAGATGTCTATGTAATTGGTTTCCCATATCTATTAAAAGGTAAAAAAGTAACTTCGATGTAATTGTTGTATACTTTCTGACAATCCTTAATTTGATTTTTTTTGCTATGTCAGCATTTTGATGCTTCCTCGATGCTTCTGCAAAACTAATGCAGTGAAATCAAGCCTGCTGCTGCTGAGCTTGTTTTTTCTAAGTGTAGTTCTGAGTAGCCTCTTAGACACTGTCACTGGGGTGGTTTGTGAGCCACAGCTGAAATAGTTGGGTGAAGAAAAATGTGTGTGTTGAAGCTAACTAGTTGCATGAATAAAAGCAGACTAGTAAGAAAGTAGTTAAACACTAGGCTGATGATCACAGATGAAGACAGTGACTGGAATGTCTAACCCTCTCTGTGATCTTAGGTAAACCATTATAATTTAATGTCTCCTCTTTGGCCTAGGGGGGATGTAGAAGGGGGTGACATTGCACACCAATCCATGTTGCAGAATTGGTTTGGTTTGTGGTTACTTATGGAGCTTTCTCAAAGTAGGACTTTCAGAAGTTGTGAAGCTCTCAGTAAGTAGTAAAGTAGTGAGCTACATTAAAATATGGATTCACTTATTTTTGTCAGATTTAGCTCACCTGTTAAATTTATTTATGGGTAGTATATTCACTGCCTTAAATGAATAAGTAGGAAGATTCTGAAAAAAAAAAGATTGGGGAATATTTGTAAATATTAAATATGCAACACTATGAGAATATTATAAATGTATTTACCAGTGTAACATTCTAGGATATTTATTGAACTTCATGTTCCTTCATTTGTGACAGAGAGCCTTTTCACACTGTTTTTAACATCTACTCTTCCCTCTCTTGTTTATTCCTTTATCTGATGTTTTCGAGAATGTCTAGGAAAGCTTTTAAATAGATAAAATGCACTTTTGGCTGTTCAAAAAGGGGTATTTTATATAAAATAAGTATACTGTAGGTATGGAAAGCTGTAAAATTTTCTTACTATTTTTGTGTCTGGTGTCCTGCCTTGTGCAGTGGAGTTAGGAACGGGGGGAGACATATTGATCAGTCAGAACTGTCTTTGCAAAAATGTTTACTCAGATAACTGCAGGTCACAGAAGTCCACGACAGACACACGGGTAAGATTTGCGTATTGAAGTAGGTTTATTACTTAATCTGACTTTGTGTAGAACATTGCTAATATAATTACAACAGTGTTTTCTCACGCTTTGTGATCTTCTCTGTAAGCTTACTAGCCAGTTATGCTTTTAACATACCAAGACTTTTTTAGTAACTGTTTTGCTTAACAGAAACTATTAGTAATTTAATGTCATTTTCCTAGAAATAATTTTCCCCACAGATTTACCTGGGTTGTAACTTGTACTGTTCATCAACCACATGTTTTAATGATTTTTTGTTTTTTTAAATTAAGACAGAATGCAACAGTGATGGATGATGTCCTTTTCAGTAGATCAAACATACAGAGATATTGTATGACAAGCAGAGCCTAGATTTCAGTTTGAATTGTGTGGTTTGTCACACTTTCTTATAGTCTCTGGAATTATTCACTAGGTAATTTGTGAGGTGATATGCCCTTTTTTCAGTAAACCATGTACAATAACAGAATGTAGATGGAATAGATTCCGGCAGCAGCATAGTTAAAGGTGCTGTTTGGGTGGCAGTTTGCCTGTGGAGGTTGCTGAGAACAAGTGTGCTGTCCTTTAAGAGATGCACTCAACTGTTTGTGGAACACCAGTCATTGCAGCTGTGTTCCAGGCTGTTCAAAAGATCATCCCCCTGCTTCATTCCCAGCTGTGCAGTTCTGTACACCTTCCTGCTCTGCATCAACTCATCCAATCTGAGTTGATTCAGCTTCTTTTCAGTACGAGTTACTGTTGAGTGTGTGAGCTTTCTGTGGGGTTAGGAGGTCTAATGGCTTCACTGAGATGCTGGAGCACTGAGGCTGGAGCAGCAGGTAGTGTGGTCACCTGTAGCAGGAGGAGAGTACCATTGTGCTAATCCATTATATTGTCTAATTGCATTTTTCAGAACAAAATTTCAGACTTAGGT